GATTAGTGTGCTTGGACAGGAAGGCATTATTATGGAGGAGTGATTTATGGTATAGAGAGGCACAAAATTTGCAGATTTTTTTTGTACATGTTCAAACAGAATCCAAGGGTATTTTTTTCACAGATTAAGATGCTGTGCAATTAAAAGCATTCACTGATTTTACTAAAATGAATAGATATTTCTACTGGTTTTTAGTCAAAAATACTTCTTTAATTTGCAAATGTTGGGTTGGTGGTTTAGTCGATTTATTTTACATATTAAACAAAGAGCAAAAGGACTTGTTCTTGAATAATAGAGACTCCAAGTATATAGGTGGTTTAAGATCTATGTCAGAGTTATTCCTAGTTCTTTAGATTCTAAAGAATAACAGTACCTGTTAATTTAGTGTACATTTCATTAAATAGAAAATATCACTGGAAATCTTTCTGCTGATGTGGTAGACTTTTCTCCAAGTCAATAGATCTCTTAGGTCTTCACAGAATACTTTTCTTCTACATTTAAAAGGAAATTAATAAGGATTTACTCTGTTCTGGGATGACTGATAATAAGCAGTAGAGCTACACTACAAGCCTTCTGTGGCTGGCTATACTATGCTCTTGTGGCTTGTGCAGCATGTCATCTTCTCAGCTAACAAAAATTTGTATGCTTCCATACCCTTGAATGTAGTTCTGATGATTACTACCAGGTGAGACTCAGGGTCTGCTGTATTCTTGGAAATTAGCCTCCACTTACTTCTTCCAATAATCCACTAACTTCTTCCCAGTGCTCTTATTCCATAACTGTTTGTTAACAAGAAGTATGAAGCCTTGTAGGGGGGGTCTAGAGGCCTTGGGACACTGCTTCAAAGTACAAATAATGAACATTATTTATATTTAATAGTAATATTGGTAGTAGTAATAATAGTAATAATAATAATAATAATAACAATGCATGTATATGTATAGCCCTATAATTATCCATGAGACTTTATCTTGAGCACTGTGTCCAGTGTTGGTCTTTCCACTACAGGAAGGACATTGTTATGCTGACATGAGTCCAATGGAGGGCCAGTGTGATGGCTGGAGGTGGAAACACAGGATGCATGAGGAGCAGCTGAGGAATGTAGGTCACTTCCCTTGAAAAGAGGCAGTTTCAGGGAAGATTTTTATTGCTGTCTTCTACCACTCAAGAAAACATAAAGATGGTTCATAATGAAAGGATGGTGGGCAGTGGGCCCAAGCTACAATAAGAAAGACTCTGATTAGATATTAGGAAACAAATTTTCACAATGAGAACAGTCAAATATTGGAACACATTGCCAGAGAGGCTGGACACTCTCCATCTTTGATGATATTCCAAACTCCCCAGGCCAAGGCTCTGAGTAGCCAGTTGGACCTGCTTTATGCTAGGGTTAAACCATTTTACCACAAAGGTCCTTTCTAATGCATTGTTGTATGGTTCTCTGCAAGTCTTCATAATCTCAGAAGCAGAGATTTGTTACAACTGAAATTTTCATGCCACTTCCATATATTGCCATGCATTGAAATAAAAACATATGTTCATCTGGTGGGTTTTCATTAGATTCAAGTTCTGTTTAACTATTCTTTACTGGATTTGCCTCTCAACAGTAGTTGATGTTGTAATTCAGTGTTGCTATACATTTTGTGCTGTGCCATAAGCAATAAAGTTTTCAAAGAGTAAATTATTGAGAGTATAAGTTCTGCTTTGCTAACTGCTGTGTATTTTTCTTGTGTTGAACAAAAGTAATTTAAGCAAAATGTAGCATACATACAAGGCTATGCTCTGTATTATACAAAACAAAGCGATGTTGATGTTAAGGCTACGGCTATGGCTTGCATGGAATGAAAATTGAAACCATAGCCAGGTTTGTTCACTTTATCTTCCAATACAGCAACTACTGGGGTATCAAAGGAATTGGAACAAATTCAAAACAAAGGAAAGAGATGTTTTCATCATAATTCTTGCCATAGAATAGAAGCTTGAGGTTTACATGGAGTCCAGGACTGGACAAGCTCATGGAGGAGAGATCTGGTAATGATTTCATAAACTGAAACTACTTCTAACTCTGGAATTCCTAGGGTTGTAAATTTTCAGAAAACTGAAGGACGTTTAAGACTACTATTGTTTTATACTTTATTCTTATACTTCTCCTTATGTGTCTACTATATATTGCCCTCACAAAAAAGGTATTGGATCAGATCATCTTTTGATCTGACTTAATATAGCTGTTCTTTTGGTCTTTTCTCCTTTTCGGATATGTTGAGATAATTTTTTTCTTCTCCCCTGGAGCTCTTGGCTAAAGAATGTCCAGCCCTCTGGGAGCAGTACACGTGCACCTTGCTCATTGCATAGGGCTGCTTAATGTATTCAGGCTCTTCAGAGACTTCAGCTGTCAAAATCTTTCCAGTTCTTGACAGCAGACTTCACTGAGGGTTTACAGAGATTTGAGATTTGATCGAATTTGTGCTAAAGGCATATATCTACTGTGTTCTTCCCACTTTCAAACTTTTGCACTAGAGCATAAAATGTGGGGCATATAATCAACTGCGAGATTCTTTTATTAGAACCAGAAAATCACATTTTCTTTCAAAAAGGTTTAGCTCTTTTTACTTTATAACAATTACTGAGACACAGATGCTTGCTCTGAAAAAAAATATTTCATAGTAATTATTTAATTAATAATTGAAAAATGTGACGAGCAAATGAAAAGTAAGGTTTCATACTGGAAGGTGTTGGGCAGGTTACTATTATGTGTCACTCACATATACCACCACTTTGAGTTATGCTGGCTTCTAAACCAGATAAGTTAACATGAACTTCCAGTGCTCACAGTGTGTAGAACAGTGCAATTTAAATCCCATTAGGTTTAGTAAGCAAGATGCAGAACTGTACTGAGGCACTGAAGAAGATACAGAGGGAGAAAGAATGAAAATAAGAAAAACAGGCTTATAAGCTTGTGCTGTTCGTGACTATCCAATAACTTGAATCATGGTCAGGTTAAGATACATCATATAGAGGTACACACAGATAAACTCCTCTGTTAGTTCTAAACAGTAATTTCTTGGGGTTGGGTTGAGAGAAGTAGAGGAGACTTCATGAACCATCTGAAGCCATTTTTTGGGATGGCTTATACAGGCTATTGAGAGATTGAACACTTTGTTAGCTAGCCCAGAGCCAGCAAATATATATATGACAAATACATATAACCAACAAATAAATATATAACCAGCTTTGCCATGCAGGGTATCAGGTCCGACCAGACAGTCCACAACCCACAGGTTCACACTCCCCCAGCCCACCAACCATGCAACTGGAGGTAGAACAATAGAAAAATTGTTCTGTCACTACACATGGCACGGTGTCATAGGAAACCAGGCTTCGTTACAGCTGCAAACTGTGAAACTTCTTGCTGCTCACACAACGCAGTGGAGTCCTGTAGTCTATGTTTAAATTCCTGTCTTGTTGAGAGGTATTCTACATATATAGCATGTAAAAATGTTAATAGTAAATTTCTCCTAGACCTTTTCTTTGCATTGCCAACCTAGTTTTTGGTGGGAACTATTTCTTAGTGGATATTAATGCAGTGTAGATCACATTATGATTATGATTTCATGTGAGACCTGTATATATATCTCAGAAATAAAAGTAATCTGGTGACTACATGATGTAAGTGATATTTTCTGGGTAAGTGAGAAGAAAGCAAATAAAATATCCAAATCTGATATTATTTATTCAAACATTTTCCGCTGGGAAATATCTCTTGATGTGCAGTCACTGTGGCCTGATCTAGCCTATTTCTTGTGAAATGCTGTTAAAAGAAATGGTGTTTCAATCAGGTTCATGTAGGAAAATGGGTTGAAGAACCCAGCACATGTGAATTCTAATTGTTTATAACAGGAAAAAAAAGTCAGCCTTGTGGAGATAAGAATAATTTCTCTTATTTTAAATTTGGGGTTTTGATTCTCATAACAGATAAAAAAAGTTATTGGGAAAATGGGAAATTCAATGGGAAAAACAGTCATCCAATTAGTTCGGTTCTCTTTTCTTTCTAACTCCAGATCCCAGTGTCCATTTTCAAAGAACCTCATTTTGGTCCATAAACCAAAAAGAATTTGGACATTATACCACATTGTAATAAGTCTTTGTGACAAAGAGGTATTTAAAGCTCAACGAAACGAGAAGGATGTTAAAACTGGTATACCAAACATGTCTGTGTGCATTCCTGAGATGCATAGCTATATATTTTTTATTATTAATACTAATAAAGGCAGGGCACGGGTGCAGCAGGCCTTAGTTTCCGTCTTTGGGGACTTTCATCTTTAATATAGTCTCTTAAAAATACATGCATTGCTACATTTTTCATTACCCTTAATTTTTTCATCAATCACGTTAATTTATACAGGGGGCACTTAATAATAGCTAATTAACACTTATGACTTTTTAAATTAAAAGACCTTTGGAGAGATTACTGATGATTGCGAAAAGGTTTTTCTTCCTCCCATTAAAAAGAGAAAGAAAGAGAGACTGAAGATCTGGCTCGGGCGTATGAGGGGAACTTCTCTCTTGCTTCACTGATCACACAACAAATGAAAACAGCAAAGGCCTGTGCAAAGGCAATACTGCTATTAGCCTACACTCCTGAAAGGTGCCGTTATTTTAACTGATTATTAAGCCGCATATATATTATTCAGAGTGACCTTTAAATAGCTGAAAATTAAATTATAATTTACCGGGGAGATATCTAAACCCATGTAGCTATTATTACCAAAAAAAAAAAAAGACCATGATCTCATACAATGTTCTGAAAATATATTTTTATTATTATCAAATGAAGTGAAGAGAGAAAAAGCATTGAATTTTGACAGTGAGAAGACTCTCATGGATTGAAATAATATTTTTTAATAACCCCCTCTTAATGTAGTGAGAAATGGCCTATGTTTATTTTTTGACTGCAACCACTGTTGAATATATCAGATAGCTGTTTGGATTCACACCACTTTCCTTGTCTAGTAATGACAGTATGATTCCTTCCTTTTAAAAAGAATGTTTCTCAGAATTAAGTATATGTGGTAAACACTTCCACTGTTCTCTAAATCTCAATTATCTGGCCAGAAAACTTCGTTTTCAAGCATCAGTGAGGGCTTTTTGTTGGTTTTGTGGTTGTTATTGTCATTGCTATAGTAATGATTACTATGATAATAATATTTTAAGATGATGATCATGATCACGATTATCATTATTATTATATACCACCAATAGGTGTCTCCGTTTCCTGACAGAGCCCAGAGAAATTCTCAACATCTGTAATACCTGTAAAATCTTACATCAGTCTGCTGATGACAGGAGGAAATCCAGTCTAGAAGGACAATATTCCACACCTGAGGTAATCTCTAACCAACTCCTTTGCAAGTGGCTTCCCTTCAGCTTCCCAGGGGCCTGAGGGAAGGCTGTCTGAGGTGCCCGGTGCTTCCTCCCACATTCACCCAAGGCCATCATGCTTCTGCTCTTTATTGGTGAGTATATATGGCTACCAGTAGCAAATGTTGTTTACGGATATCTTTCCTAGGTAGTATGAAGGCAGGCTCATGCAGTGTAAAAAGACCAACATCTCTCCTGTTTAAGAGGTGCTCACTTCTTTTTAGGTACAGAGCAATGTGCCACCTTGGCAGCAGAATTTTGTAGTCTGCATCTCATTTTAAGGCCTGTGTTTCACAAGGTCTGCCTATCATGAATTTAAATTGCATGGGATGGTTTTCTGCTACTCATCAGACTCAATAAAAATTGAAGCCACAAACATACTGATGATTAAAAAATCCAAATCCATTAATGAAGCTGACTGAACATAATAGTCTCTTATTACTAACCTCCTATGAATTGACTTTGGTATCATTACAGCAGTTAAATACAACTGCACAAGACTTTGTACTCTCAGAGATCATAGAATCATAGAATGCCCTGTGTTGGAAGAGGCCTTACAGATCATCTAGTTCCAACACTCCTGCAGTGAAGAGGTCATTTTCCACTTAGCTAGGTTGCTCAGTGCTCCTTCCGACCTGGCCATGAACACTTTAAGGAATGGGCATTTCTTTTTAGTATCTAATCTAACTACTTTCTTTCGGTTTACAGCCATTCCCCCTTGAACTGTCACTACATGCCCTTGTAAATAATCTCTCTCCATCTTTCTTGTGGGCTCCCTTCAGGTGCTGTAAAGGCCACAATTAGATTAACCTGAAGCCTTTTCTTTTCCAGACTGAACAATCACAATTCTCTTTGCCTTTCATCATAGGAGAGCTGCTCCACCCTTCTAATCAACTTGGTGGCCCTCATATATTGAAGTCCACATGTGAAGTCAGTATACAGCATTGGTAATCGTAAATTAGGAGGAACAATTAAGAAAATAAAAAAATGCAGCTATATGCATGTATATGCATATATACATGTATTGCTCAGCAAAATCAATAAAATAGTCATCTTTTTTAACTGGAAATGCAAGGACAACTGAATTCCAAACTGAAATTGTTTTTTCAGTCAGGATATACCTACTTTTACATTCAACTGAGTGCATTCTCACCACACATGAGACTTGTCCTCTGAAAGAGCACAGTGGAACTGATGAAACTCTTCCAGTGCCCAACCATTCTCTGAGTGAAGAACCTCCCCTGACACAGCCTCAGGCCATTTTCTCGGGTGCTGTCACTGGTCACCACCGAGAAGAAATCAGTGCCTGTCCCTCCTCTGTCCCTCATGAGGAAGTTGTAACTGCAATGAGGTCTCCCCTCAGTCTCCTTCAGAGTGACCTCAGCCACTCCTTGTATGGCTTCCCCTCTAGACTCTTCACTATCTTCATAGAACTCCTTTGGACCATCCAGAAACTTTATATCTTTCTTATACTGCAGAGCCCAAAACCATCACAATATTCAAGGTGAGGCAGTACCAGCGCAGAGCAGAGAGGGAGGATCCCCTCCCTTGTCTGGCTGGTGATGCTTTGCCTGATGCCCCCAGGACAAGGTTGGCCCTCTGGCTGCCAGAGCACTGCTCATTCATATTCAACTTGCCACGGACCAGGACCCCCAGCTCCCTTTCATCAAGGCTGCTCTCCAGACTCTCATCCCCTAGTCTGTACATACATCCAGGGTTGCTCTGTCCCAGGATGAAGAATCCAGTACTCGTCTAACTTCACTTGGTTGATGATTGCCCAGCCATCTAATTTTTAAAAATCTCTTTGTAGCACCTCTCTGCCTTTGAGGGAGACAACAGCTCCTCCCAAAATATTGTTATCTGCAAACTCACTCAGTATAACTTCAAGTCCTGCATCCAAGCTGTTTATGAAGAGAACTGGAATGAAGATGGAGCCCTGCAGAACTCCACGAGTGACCATGATACACGAGGTGATGTCTCAGCTCTCTGCCAGCTCCAAAATGAAGAAAGAAGCCAGCCCACAGGGGTGACAGTTAGGAACACTGAGAGCCTGTTCTCCCCATTCAGTCAAGTTTTCTGCAGTAAAGAAGTACTGAGCCATCAAAAAACGTGGGGAAATTGGTCTCAGATGTCAAGACAGTCTTGGAGTTGGGGCAGCAGGAGTTAACAGCAGTGTTATCAGAGGCAACACTGTGTTATCAGAGGCATGGCTGCGTGATGGAATTTGAAATCCAGTGCTCACTTCTCATCAGAGGAAGGAGGCCAGCCCTTGTCAGGAATCAAAACAGTGTAATAGAAGAAACTCCTCCAAATGGGTAGCAAGGTAATGCAGTATGGCTCTGAAATTGTCTAACATCTTGATGAACTGGAGTAGGATTTACATAGAAACAATGTCAAATAAGCATATTCCTTAGAATGCTTTGCGAGTCACCACCTCAGCATTATTCATTTTGATATCACTCCATGCTGTGAAAACATGCATGAACCAAAAGGGTTTCACTGTATTCTACAGGGTAGAAATAAAAATTGCAAATAAAAACCAAAAAGGAAATACTCATTCTTATATATTGGCAATTTACTTGATAATGGCCCGCATAGTTACAACAAACATCCCTTATGTTAGAATTTCATGCTACAAGTGCCCTCACAGTTTAATATAGAACTGCTGTGGTGTACTCTGTTGAATTACAAAATAACTAAACAACAATAATTAAAAAGGAATTTGAAAAAGCTAAGCTTTAATTTACAATGATTTGCAATTGAACACTGAAATTTTTAAATCTCTTGGACTCTTTAACCCACATTTCCAGAAGGTTCCTGATTTTTTTTTCTCCATATAAACAGACAAATATTTTTGCATCATTATCAGTAACAGCACCAGTGATTCATACTTACTTTACTCTCAGAAAGATTCAAATGATCTGCAGATAAATGTCTATGAAATTCTTATCCTGCAGATAAACAACAGGCAATGGAAACACCATCCATAAAGATCAGGAAGAGTTTAAACTCTTGATTTTTTACTGCGAGAAAGGTAATAGCAATACCTCACACAACCTGAGACAACAAAAATGTAAGGGAAGCTGGAATTCATGGGAATTGGTAGTGTACTCTCAGAGAAGGGATTTTTTTCTCCATACTATTTTATAGGTGAAGAGCAAAATCACTTTACCAGCTAATTCGTCTCTCTACTTATCTATTCAACAATATAAAATCATCATCCATTGTTTTTTTGTATGACAGCAATAGAAATGGTGAAACCTCTGGTGGATTTTATTAAGTCTTTAGCAAGTCTCTTGTTTTTGGGATTAAGTCTCACCTTTGGTTCTTTTTGGGAATTTAAGACACTTAAGATTTATAGTAAGTAGACAGTTAAGCTTCAAGGACTTCAACTACATGGCTTAAAGTGGAGTTTCTCAGAAGGCTTGGCTGTTTTCCCTGGAGACTTAACATCTGTTTGATCTCTACTGGAAGACTACTGGCTGTGAGATCCCCTTAACTGAAGATGTCCCCAGCATTTACATGCTGCTCCTGGGACTTAGTGAACTGCCTTGTCCCCAGGAAACACTGATATCATGGCAGTGCATAAATCAGAACTGGAACTTTGATGTAAATGGGACTGAATCCATTATTTGCTTTAAAAGTCTTTGTGATGTGTCTTGTCCCAGAGGACATGTAGTTATAGTGATTCAACGGTCATACCATGCTCTGATGTTGCAGGGTTGGATTCATTATTGCCTGAAACCGTAAGAGCAAAGCTTTAGATGGACACTGGAAATTAGCTGGGAGCCAGTGCAGGGATGGGATCCATGCTATTTCCTTCTTCAGCCTTAAAGAGCCTTAGAAGGACCCCAGCACTTTGTTAGTATACAGGAGTTTAGTTTTGACAGGTGGGGACACAACACTCTGGCCAGTTCTTTGCGTGTTGCCTCAGCAGCAACAACCAGCTGCTTCTTCCTGGTTCCTTGGAGATGTTCAGACATGTTATAAATATTGGGCTTGGATATTGCTAGCAGTTCGTGGAAAAATAGCATGTGACCCTTTTACCAGAGCATGTCGCTGCTCCTGTGGTCAAACAGTCTCCCAAACTTCACGAGCACTGCTAGATACTCCAAGTTGTAGAGGTTTATATTAGACTGTGAAGCTTTGTGTCCCACAGGAGAACTGTATGGGACATAGGTCTTGCACTGTTTTGGTTATGATTATGTGTGGCTTTTCTGGGGTTTTGTCAGCCTGGTTTGCAAATTATCAGGATAACAGCCTGTGAATGACTCTGCCTTATTGCACACATAGGGTAGCCTCTCTGTACATATATTAGTTGTCAAAGTCACCATTCAGCTCTACCCTTAGAGTCTCCAAAACCTTTAAAGATATTATTGCTCATGGATAGATCCTTGAACTCCAGAGCTTACATGACATTGTTCAGAAATTGTATTCAGACTTCAGAGCCCAAAGTTGTAGTGTATGTGCAAACTTTAATCTAGGTCTGTGGACCACAAAAACAAGTCTATTACCTTCCTAGAATGAAGAGAGGTCACATACATGTAAGAAGGAAATCAGATTTATTTTGTAGCCTGCACAGAAATAATTGTAAAATATACACATAGACTGGAAAAATGGGCAACATAATAACAGTAATGAAATCAATAATAGTAATAGAAACCAGCAATTTCTTTGCATTTTTTAGACCAGGCAAGGAAGAGTTAAAACAGTTTGTACCAATTATTGACTACAAGATCTGCAAATGATTGCATAAAATTTCCAAAATATGCCTGCAAGCTTCTATTATTGATGTTGTGCCCCAGGACATGCACATATGGATTTAATTGTCTAAAGTGTTTTATTAATTAAATTGCTATGATTTACCTCTCCCATGTTAGCATTTACAGTTTATGAAACAGCTCGTAATTAGGAAATGACTCTACTGATGTTGCTTGTTTACTTTGCAAGCAATACATAATAGTTCCACATTCCTCTTTTTAAACCCACCCTCCCAGGCTACCTTTTTTCTAGCCCGATTAATAGGCAACTGCTGCTGGCGCGTTAAATTGCTTTTTGGGTATGTTTAGGGGGAAGATAACTGCTAGGGTTACTGTTACTGTTGCAGTGCACAGCAGCTTCCTTTTTCCTAGACTGAAAGCTTCACCCAGACCTTGATGAAGTTAACAGACATCTTGCACTGGTGAGTTTTGGATCTGCCCCAATAAGCAAAAATGGGGTATTTTTTTCCCTAAATACAGCATCATGTTTATTGCAGAACACCCAAAATATTCTAACCAGACACATACTACTTTATTCTGATAAACAAGATTTTGAGTTTTCTTTACTGAATCTCAGAAAGATTTTCTAGAATACTTATGAATAAATGCCCTGAAGCTGTGCACAATTGGATTTATTTAAATGAAAGAAAGGCTGTAAGTTTTATGCTTAAGAATATTTGCCAATGAGTAGATCGGTATTACTACATCAAAAGGTTTCTTAGCTGATCTAACTGATAATCCATCTCTGTCTGAAAGTTAGTATTTTTAAATCTATAATTTAATTCTATACTCTCAAATTTTGTACATCTTTTTGCTTATTTAGAGAATGCAGACACCATATAAATGACCTACATGTATATGCAGAGGAAGAAAGAGAAGAGTGTAGTGTTATTACAGTAGGCAGTTGGAATTCAAGATTGTTGTGGGTCCTTTCCAAATGAAAGTATTCTATTCTATTCTATTCTATTCTATTCTATTCTATTCTATTCTATTCTATTCTATTCTATTCTATTCTATTCTATTCTATTCTAATTCTAATTCTAATTCTAATTCTAATTCTTATTCTATTCTAATTCTATTCTATTCTAATTCTAATTCTAATTCTAAAGACCAGAACGTAGGAGAATGATCTCTTGAGTAAAATTTGCCACAAAATATCACTTGTT